TTTTTTTCCTTTACCTAATCATGAAAGTTAAAAGATTTCGAGAAAGTTGCTAGCTTTATCACGTTATTGTAATTATTTATAGCGCCTTTTGGTGTACAATTAATATATTTTTCTTAAACATATGTACATTACACTCAGATCGGAATCTAGCCTGAGGTTGAAATTTTAAATAAATATTGTTTTTCTTGAAGGGTACATCTAGCTTCTTACTTTGTTGAAATAATTTACGAATACTTTGTATGTATATTATTCTATTTTCACATAACGCAACGTTTCACACTATTTCCAATCACTGCGTTTCCAAGGTTTAAGTGTATAAATGCCATACCACAAAATATCTTTGTGTCTATACTCATAAAAGAAATTAAATATTAAATCTTTAATGATTGTATATGGGCTACTATATGATAACAAGTCATTACGGATTGTTAACTCTTTAGCGAAATTTCTTCTTAGTGAAGTTTTAATGTCTGTGCAGAGAAAATCAGTAAAACTTTGTTTCGATTCGCTGTTCATCTTTAAGCTTCCTATTTGAGAAAGAATATTGATTTGTTCGAAAAGAGGCGTAACGCATAAGGACAGTCCAAAACATTTAATGAGTCGGAATGCAGTGATTGGTTGATGTACTTAAAATCTTTTCCACTTGAGAAGACGCATATAAAAGTGAGTCATTTAAGATGGTTAAGAATCTCGCCCAAGGAGAGAGAGTTAGAGAGATGGGATTAGATGACAATCTTGGTTAAACACAAATAATAAAGACAGATAGAAGAAGAAGTCATAGAGACAGGAAAGAATAGTGACAGGAAATCTTGAGAAGAATTCATAGAGACAGGAAATCTGATAAAATTTCAGGTCTTTCATGAGCATCAGGGTGAAGATATGAAGTCATTTTTTGGAAAAATTGTAATATCACATAATAGTTAAAATTTAAGTTTATCCAATAATGTTCGATGCACATATTTTTTGCAAAATTATATTTATGAATGTTTTGTTTTCAGTATGTCTTGAATTTTCTAATAGTTGCAATGATAATGTCACGACTCCAATGATGAAGTGCTAAAGAATTATAAGTTTTAATTATAAATACGTCATTTCATCATTGGAATAAGTACATAAGGTATTAAACTGAATTTAATTTTTATCAATGTATAATAAATCCTACAAAATATAGAGACTAGTGGAACTAGTTATATTTGAAGAATATCTCTCTTGGTTTATACTATGTTCTATAAATTACAACAGAATCTTTTATCGCAGAATTACAAAACTTATACCTAATATAAAAAGTTTATTGCTAGGTAAAATTTCGATATTATTTTCGTAATTCATTTTTTGGAGGGAGTCAAATATCGTTCGAAAGTTATATTTTACCCGGTATTTCGGGTCTTTCTATTATTATTTAATTTCTTTTATGCAGCTTCTCGTTAGAATTTTCGAAAAAATGCTTTGCGGAATAATCCGATTCCAAAATTCGAATTAGAAGATTGAACTTTGAATTAACCATAAGATTTGCTAGATTTCTAGAATACGTATTCATTTTGCATACGCACATAGAGTCTTATTTCCTTGCCTGCCAAATGTCAACAAACAATTTCGATGCCAAACGACCATTTTATAAAAACATGCTAATTAATGTAGAAAATCTGAACATATACTATACTGTAAATGTATAAAACCACTGGCAAATTTAATAGATCTTCATCTAAAAGATTTAGATCTTCACCTAAAATTTATTTAAATCTTCACCTAAAATAACGGTATTAAATACACTTCCAGAATATGATTGCTTCAGCAATGTAAACTTCAGTTAAAAATACATAACATATTTTTAGTTACAATTAGGTATTAGGATCAATGCTCTGTTCTTGATATATTCTTTTCTAACCGAAATATTTACATAAATCCTGGATTGCAAAATCATTAACGTAAACCCAAAGTCACATCTATTTAGGGAATTGTGATTACTCCGCGAAGGACCAGCGAACTTATCTTTCCTTACACAATAAAATTTCTGCTCATTTCTGTTTACTTTTTTTGCTCTGTGGGAGACATATTTCAACGTGTTCTGTCATCGAGCATATGCACTGTGCGTTCGGAAGCAATACATCGTACTTTTAGACAGGTATAAGGAACAGAACTAAAGCAAAACATAATATTAGGTTTAAAAGTATTTTAGATTTACATAGATTTATATGAAAATATACCGATTTTGAGGAAGAATGACGAAGAACAGAGACCTCTATCAGTTTCCCCAACACTAATAAATTTAAATACAGCATTAGGTAATCAAACAAATCTTAGACTTATGTAGGATTTATACAAATGTAAGGTTATTTTTCTGCCTAATACTTGTAAAATTGTGTCTATGTCTAGAGGAAAATGGTAAGAATCTTACATTCGTGGTTCAGTCATTGCGCTGTGTGCTTGACCACATTGAAAATAATTTTCGACGATGTTTTATTTTTTACTTGATTTCCAACATTAGTAAATGGCCCAGAGAGATTCTAAGGAAAGTAATAACATTTTACGTTGCAGTTTCTACTACTAAGACAGAAGAATATATGAGAGCCTGTAACTTAAACAAAGAGCCTCAATTAGACAATCTGTTCTTTAACATTAATAAGGCTAGCTGTGTGGCTCTCTAGACAAACTGCTCTGACTGATAAACAAGGGTTACTTCATTTATGGAAATTATAATGGTGATTGGATTGGCGATATTTCTTATCATATGAATAAGAGACTACTTCCATTGAAAATTCACATTTTATACACTACGAAATAATCACCAAACTACAGAGTGTGTTTAAGACTTTAAGACTTTAGAACGTTTTCAGGGCCGTTTAATCAGTATATCAAATGCAAAGAAGAGTAATTTCTTAAATATTCGATCTGATAGTCTTTTTCCTGGACTATAAATCGTGATTCCATAATTGAAGATCTTTTCATAAAAGTTCTAGGAATATTGATTTCCATTCTTCTTCCACTACTTCCGTTGTGCATCATTCTGGGTTTGCATTTAGAAGGAGATCTTTTCAAGGTACCAGATGCGCAATAGTCCATAACTGAAACGTCAGAGGATCGGAAGAATACGTTGAAAAAATAATATACGCAATACCTGCATCAGTCTTCAATTCTACAACAGTGGTACTTTTCGAAGTACCATTTGTATCTCTGTTTTGATGAAATTCCACTCTTTGGAATGGAATTAATTCTGCAAATATCAAGCGCAAAGCTTTCTCGTGATAGTATCTTCAGTTAATTTTAACATTTTTTCCTCTCTTCTTATTTTTAGTTTTTCATTGAGCGAGAATCCTGTGACAATACTGAACCCCTTACTGAAACTTTCTTTGCATTGACAAAGCCAGGTTTTTTACATTTTCCCCTCTCCCTTGTCGATAATAAATAACGCTGTTTGTTTCAGTCATTTAGGTAAACCGATTCCTTATCAAGGGTCACAATGTATTTCCATTTATCTCTGCTAATTTTTGTACAGGGTTCTAAAATTTGTTCTGCGTTGAGCCACATTCCGCAGCAAAAACTGATGAATATAATATTTTTTAACTTTTATGAGTTGCAAATATTTGTTTTTTAATTTATTTATTGTTGCCACAGATGCATTTAAATATTTTGCAATTGATTTATGCGTCGAGAGATTTTTCTCTTGTTCCCAGTTATTTTAGAAACGTTAGAAAGAGTACGTACCTTTCTCGGATCTTCTTCTTTCGATGTAGAAGTAATGACTGAGGTGTTTTTCCTTTCCGATTAAAAAGACTGCTTATTTCGCACTTAAAATTTTAATACCATGCATTTCACAAGACTTTGGAATTATGGAATATGAGTACTTCTCTTCCGAAAGTGAAGAAGATAGCCTTTCATCCACAGATTGTTTACATGCCACATTTTGATAGAAGAATAAATTTAGTCGCAGACGATATTTCTTATAAAAATTATAAGAAATTTTTATTCCAGAACACTTACTTTTACTGATCTTTATCGAAATTGTTTTAGAAGTGTGTAAAAATCATTTGTACCTACAAATACAATTATTTTCAATACCTGCCATCTTTTGATAGATCTGCCATCTTTGCTGTTTTATGAAGGCAGATAACGATGAGTCTAAATATACTATCTCTAATTTAAATATAAATAAATAAAAAATTGGTCATTTTTGAACTGATGTTAATTCTGATGTTTCCAATGAAACTGTTATTCCGCTTACAGGATATGATTTGCATTGTCTAAGTTTTAATTTTGATGAAAAATATTCCAGACGCAGAACGCAGACATCGCGTGGCTTAAATTATTAACCCTTCATACGCAAGTATACTTGAAGCACTATTCCTTTGCAAGCTTTACGAAGGTTTCAGAGAATATTAGATGAAGCGTTTCGTTAAACAAATGCTCTAAATGATGACCTAAAATGCCATCTCAACACGTATTATAAAATCGAAAATTTTTATGTGAAATTAAAGCCAAACTTAAGTTGAATTTTGCTTAGTTTTTAAAGATTTATAAATTAGATAAAATATTATACTTCGCATTCATCATAATAATAGACGCGTTAAGCTTTAATAATCCAAAGATTTAATCATCGAAACTGATGTAATATTTTACACTCTGAGTCTTTTAACAAGATGTTGATCACATGAAAAATTAAAGATATCAATGTCTTAAAATTTACAAGAATATTTTGTATTAAGTTTTATTGTTGTCTTCGACTTCTGTAGCTTAGAATTATTATAAATGTATAGTAAAAATCTGATGCAACACCCCAAGAAATATCAAATTGATTTCAGCAGGAGTATAGATCATATCTTTTAGAAATAGTCGTATTATTGAAATATTTTAGCCTTTTTATAGTAAATAATTAACAATTATTATTATAATTATTAAACAATAAAATAAAAAAATATATTTCAAAGAATAAATCCGTATAGAGATTTTTTTCACTGTGCGCAGAATTTGAAAAGCTCTATCTAAAATGACGAATAAGGGATTACCTGCCTAGAGCGTATTTTAGCGGCATAAAGAGATTTTAGGAACACTGATTGGCCTTCCAGTCGTAAGCCATCCTTTCGTATCCTTAAGTTGCCCATTCCATCCTGCAAGGCAAAAGGTCTTTATTACATATTTTTAAATTAGAAAATAAAGGACACCTTAAGAACCATGTTTAGACACATTGCGACAAAATTACACTACATATAAGTTTTAAACTGATACAGCTTTTATAAAAACAGGTGGCAGACTGCTTCAGATTATGATGCGAACAACTAAGATATTTGTTGAGCTTGTTTAGAGAACTGCTCTTGTTGACTGTAGCGAATTCGCGGATTAGCTTTCTTTAGCTGTTTTGAATTAAGTTCTCTTAAACGTTTGAGTAGTTAAATGATAACTACTACGAGATATTGTAATACTGCACGAATATCTGAGGAAATTTAAGCAGTTTTGTTGAGATAATAATAAATTTTGTTCATTTTTCATCGGACTTGTGCATTCATTTCATAACGAACCCGTACGCACGCAACAATTTTTGGTGTCAGGATTGGGATTTGAATGCCAAGAACAAGAGCGATTGAAGAACAGTTAAGGCAGTTGATAGCAGCCTTTGCCTCGTTTAAGGAAGAAATGAATGCGGGACAGGAACAGATGAAATTGGGCCCGGAATCCGTTAAAGTGGAGATGAAAGCCGTTCAAAAAAAAAAAAACACTTTGAAGCATGTTAGGAGAAAATGGAAAGAGAAATAACCTGCGTAATAGAAATTAAATTTAAGGCTATGGAAGACAGAATAGGAGCTGTCAAAAATGAAGTCGGAGAAATTGAAAAACAAAATTCTTCTGTCAAAGGTGAAATAGAAGATAGAGTGTCTGCTACGGAGCAACGAGTCGAAGGAAGGATTTCGGCCGTCCAACAACAAATTGAAGAAAGAGTTTCTGCCGTCCAAGGACATATTGAACTACAAATCGAAGACAGAATTTCTGCTGTCCTCGCTAAAGAAGAAATTCGTAGCGACGGCAGAGAGCAGTTCCGATGGTTTTAAATTCTTACCCATGCTTGCTTGTTCCTCACTGAAGCTATCTACGGATGATGGGACGCAAGACTACCAGCTATTCCAGATCAGAGATGCTCTTCGGTCGTGACCTTCGTCTCCCTTGTGACCGCCTGTTTTATCGCCATACGGATGCGCCTTCATCGCATGAGGAATACATCCAAAATGTCCAGGCCCGGTTTGAAGTGATGCACCGTTCCGCACGAAAGCGAGTCAACTTGGCGACGGAGAAATTGAAGTCTAGATACAACACGAGAGCTGCTGGACATAGATCTAACAAAGGAGACAAGGTGTGGTTGTGGAGTCCGATTCGTCGAAAAGGAGTCAGGCCTAAATTACAGTCACATTGGGATGGTCAGCTCGTTCCTAAACAGGCTGAATGACGTCTTGGTACGGATCCGTAAGTCTTCGAACTCTAAACCTAAAGTCGTCATTACGACAGGTTAGCTCATTACTATGGCCATAGTACGTCGTGTAAATAATTGTAAATAGTGTAAGACCATGGTCCTTTTTGTTTCAAAATTTGCATTTAGTATTTGATTTGTATTTTGTATTTGATTAGCATTTAGTATTTGATTTGTATTTTGTATTTGATTTGTATCATGTATTTGATTTGTATTTAGTATTTGTTGTATTTACTATTTGATAACATTTCATTTGTTTAAGTTATTGCATTTATTATTCATGTTGTTTGTTATTGTAATGTAATGTTTATTATTGCATTTATGCCTTACTTGTGGGTTTGGCTTTCTGTCCAGGGATTGTACTGCCCGGGACGTGCCGTCCTTGGGAAGGGGGCAGTGTTACGGATTTGGTATTTAAATAGCTAATGTTAGTTGAATTATAAATTAAATTGTTTTAATCTCCGCGCAGTGCAGCGCGTGATGAATATTAAAGGAAAGCTAAGCCGGAAAATTAAAAATACAAGAGCACGTGCATTTAACATTTAATAAATAAATATCTCTTTTCTCTTTCGAGAAAATTCCAGAAAATTCTCTCGCGCCATTTCAAATCTTATAAAAAGGAGGAAAAGCCTCTCAGTTCAGTTAGTCAGTCAGTTAGTTTGTTGTTCTTTTAAGAGTTTGTTTAGAAAACAGCTCTTGTAGACTGTAGCGAATTCGCGGATTAGCTTTCTTTTGTTGTTTTGAATTAAGTTCTCTTGAACGTTTGATTAGTTAAATGATAACTACTATGAGATATTGTAATACTGCACGAATATCTGAGGAAATTTAAGCATATTTGTTGAGATAATAATAAGTTTTGTTCATTTTTCATCGGACTCGTGCATTCATTTCATAACGAACCTGTACGCACGCAACAATATGAAATAATACATTAATTGATTATGTTAAGCTTTCAAGAATTATTTGCCTAGTATGAGACATGTCTTTAGGAAAGCATGAATTTGAAGAGAAATTTTATGATAACAGTAAATATAAGATGAAATATCAAACAAAAGTACATTTGAAAATAAATGTAAAATAAGGTTAATTCAGATGTCAAACAACTGTGGTGCTGTGGGTGTTCTTCGGCGTGTTACTGTGTCTTAGTTAACGTTAGGTTAATTGATTATTGTACGTTACATACACTTACAGTATTAGTTTAAGCAGTTTATAAACATCAACACGAGTGAAAGAAGAATAAAGTATATTTCCCCATAAGCATTTTTAAGTCCCCAGTAAATACATTCTCGCATATTTGGGCACAAAGCTCACCCCATACGCTTTTTAAGTTCCCAGTAAATAATTGCTCGCATAATTGGACACAAAGTGAACAAATCTCACACATTCCGCATCGCTGAAATCTGAAGTGTGAATTCATCGCCAAGCCAAGCATAGATAGATTTTCTTTCGCCAAGTGACGAAGGTTACCAAGTGACGAAGGCTGAAAATATGCCTATTGCCCGGGTGCGTGAAGCATAAACCATGCTAGGACTAGACGCTACTTTTCTTTTGCAACTAAATGAGTGAGTGCCATTGGGGCATTACTACTGGAGGCGCGTGTGGGCGCTTTCCCCAAAGTCACTTAATATGTGCTGCTGCGATTTTTTCTTCTGAAGGTGCTACTTAGGGCCCAAATTCTATGCATAGTGCTCGGGCTTGGCCTTCCGGCGTTCACCATATTTAAGACAAATTTGTACAACGGGGTGATGTTGCCTGCTGTTGCTACTTTCCGAGCATAAGAATAGCGTTCTTCAATGCCAAGAATAGGAGGAAGGGTACTACATCGGCAGGTTTCTAAATATCAGTGAGGAATTCAACATAGCACGGAGTAACGAATAAACAATCTTTTTAAATGCAACCAGATCTCGTCACATTTTGTATTGGGAACAGCTCATCATGACACGGCAAAGACCAAGAACCTACCCAGGGTAAGCCACGGATACGACTCATTATTAGTGTCATTATAACAGCACCACACGTACATCATTCACCACGATACCCACAGTGGCATGGTGGTAACTGGCACGTTTGCAATTCGCATACTGAGCCGCGATTAAAGCCATTGGAGGCCCTAAGCACTTGAAGGATTTGGATGCCGCCACATATGTTTACACCTACTTTTTCTTCATTCCTTCTCGCTTTCAGCATGCAGATCGCCAACGAGGAATTTTTTAGTATCTCCTTTCCTGAATACGTAAGAACCATTTTGTGGTGTTTCCTTGATGCCTTAACCAAGTGTCTATATTGCTTAATGGTTAGTCAAGCCCTAAGTCCATGATAGCTTACCTTGGTTGGCAGGAAATGGAACGGCCATTTATATGCAGTCATTCGTAATGTTGCGTTGTAATGTGCAACAATGTGCCACTTATAGTGCACAATTATTATAAGATAGGTTTGTGTCAGAAGTGTAACATATCTTTCGATGACAGTTCAGTGTTAGTCGACAAGATCCTGAGAGGTCTCATAATACCATATTGGCTTGGATGGTATATTCTAGAAAAGCTACGTTCGAGAAGTGGAGCTGAAACTTAACGAAAAGTGTAAATGCCAAAGAGTCTGAAAACAGGAAAGATTATGAATGCAATAATCCAAGTTAGGGGAGCTAGCATTCTTGCTGTTTAGAACCGAGTAAAATTGATTTTACTGATTGTTCAAATATTGATCAGAAAATACAGAGGCTCATTTCCAAACACGCTTGCAACAACAATGCATTGATGTAAAATAAAGTAGAAAGTTGTTTTCAAAGGTCAGAAGTAAGCTTGCAATCTTATGGATAATAAATATTATATTTTAATGCATGTTTTTATAAAACGTTTCGCTTATTTTTCCTTGTTCCCCTGCGTTGTTTACAAACATTTAAAATATGTCAGGTCCGCGCCTTTTTGTATCAAAGTAACTCAGGTTATTGCGTATTTTGAAAAAATTAATATAATGATAATATCGGTAATTTATGGCAGTATTTACCAAAATATGGGTAGGAATATAATCTTTGGTTGAATCGCGAAAATTTTAAAATACTCTTTTTCTTGTCATAAAACCGTATGTTTCTAATTGTAATTACGAATTAATTTACTGCTATGAATTAATTTCTATTAGTTTTATATGAATTTGTATGATTACTGTAACAATCTTTCTTTTTTCCCCCACCAGTGACAGACTGATTAAGATCGCCAAATACCTAGAATTCGTTTGGGATTTAATCTCAAACGAATGAACTTGGTGCATACAAGGTGGTCACAGAAAATTTTTTCTGATATATGAACTAGCGCTATATCGACTCAACCAATTCGATATGAAATTTCAAATATTGTTGAAGGTATGCTCTTGAGATCGTGATGATCGAAAACAACAAAGCACTCATGGTTTCAATAATTTGTACGTATACTTCAGTGGTTCTCAACCGGTATTACGCAAGAGAAAAATAGATGGTACGCAAAGAAGCAAAGTATTTTTAACTATTAAATTCAAAACGTAAAACACCAACATCCTGACTGAGTTTTTTCTCTAGCACTCGTAAATTTATGGGATCTGAGCTTTGTTCAAGAGTGGTGAAGGTAGAAATACTTTGTAGTGGTGGTACTAAAGTTTTCAATTTTTGTTAAGTGGTGCGCGTTAGACAAAAGGTTGAGAACCGCTGGTATACTCCATTTATTTTCATATGAAGATAAATATTAAAGTATACTCACCATTGTAAAATCTAAAACTTTGATGATCCAAACTGTGAGTGAAAGGTTTATAACAACCAAAGAACATAGCAATATGAGAAGGAAGTAGAGACATCTTTTCCTCCACCCATAGATGCCGATTCTGAACAAGCAATGACTAAAATAAGGGTCGAGACAAATTTCTTGTCCATTAGGTTGTGGCTGGCAAGTTTCATTGTCATTCCATTCGGGCAGAGGTGGCGCTGTGATGGCCACAGTCTGCCCTGTTGCCATAACTAGAAAAAAGAAATATTATTATAGTATATTTAGTATCAAATTTAGTGTAATAATATGCAGTATAAACCAATGGCTCATAAATAATGTAGAAGGTTTTACTTCTTTATTTAATCATGGATACATTTCTACTGATTCATCGTATTTCAAAAGTATCACACGCGCTATAATAACTATCCTCACACCCTGCAAATATATTATGTAAGAGTTACTGGTCCAATATTACGAATGTCTGCGGTAGTCGCGTTCGATCCATGCCATTTATAGTTTTTATTTAATTATGGCAAAGCAAGTGAGGGCTAACTCTGCCTAAGGGAAGGGATGTCTTGGTGGAGGACCTTTCTAAGGAAAACTGGCTCTTTCCCACGTTACACAAGGGGAAAACTACGAAAATGTCTATGCAGCCAGACCGTTTACTTGGAATTTAACTCAGGTCGGAACTACCAGTGCTCAGCGACATTACCGCTCGACCCCCGGTGGGCCACCATACATAATATTCGCCTGTCAATGATTACCATAGCAGCATTGCATTTTGCAATGAGCTGACGCATTCGCTGAGATCTATAGCTGCTATTAAAAACGACTTTTTGCCCAAAAATACAGCGCTTAACATATAAAGAAAAACCTGTACGGAGTTAGATCGGGAGATAACTCGATTACCGCTTGGACGCGTATCATATGAACAACAGATCATTTTGTAGATCATCTATAGTAAATAAGGAAAACTGCGAGAATTAACGATTCAGTCTATGCATCATTTACTATTTTCCACATTTAAAAAATGTATTATTTTTAAAATATGATTCATTGTTTACAGTTGTTCTGTATTTATTTATAATTACTAACAATGTTACCATTTTAAGGAAAGATAAATAAAGATACTTTCAACAAATATTTAAGTTGCCCCAAAAACGTATGGCTAATAAGTTACACAATACTTCAGGAGAAACAAAACTTTACATAAATAAAAATAGAAGAGTCGTAAAGCAAGGAAAACGGTCAACAAAAAGCTGAAAAGAAAACTGTTAATGTATAGTAACTGTTAATGTATAGTAAGTTTTATGCAGTAGGAAACTAGAAAAATCAAGTTTGATACAATCACTAGGATTCAAACTACCTGATCTACCAATTGTTCGCTATTTAGGTTACAATTTACGCCATCAGAATCTGCACGGAATAATGCAGTAATTCCTTATATTCTCTATCACTTAAAAGACTATTAGAAAAAACTCGAGAGTTAGTCGACTAAATCCAAGTGGTGGCCAATTATCAATTTAGTCGGAAGCCACTGTAGAAACATTAGGATTTTCGGAGCGATAACTGTAAAACATTAACTATGTCTTCGATGGGATTCAGCTACGGCTTTTATATTTATTAAATCACCGGGACAATGCAATAATTTTGTATACATATTCTACAACAGTTTACTGTGAACATGTCGATTTTAAGATGATATGTTAATGAATTATCATCCAAGGTATTAAAATTACATGATTTTGTTCGAAAACATTAGTCAAAACATTTTTAAAGTTTTGTGGACATTACGCTTCTGTAAATTAGCAGTTTCTTTTGCTTTAACATGCATAACCTCTCATTTTAAAACCACAGATTTTCTTCGATCTAGAACAAAGCCGTTAACATAATTACAAGTTTAAGAATTTCTGAGTTATTCTCTAACACTTAATAATCCTATTATTAACAAGTTTACAACAATTAATTAATTTTCCAAAATTACGTATTTTCGATTATTATTATTTCATTGTTACATTATTTTCCTCTAAGACTGTTCTCTTTTTCCATAATTTTGTTGGGAGGCTACAAATTTAGGAAGCGCTGATATGGACATTAAGAATTAAAATTTTAAATTTCTGATATAGCATACATTTTTTTTTAATTTAATGCGAAAAAATAGATTTCTGTTGCTGAAAAAACATCAGCTGAATTTTAAAAAAAAATAAAAATAAAAATAAAAATTCTGAAAATTTTCAGATTTTATATTACGCCCAAAGGGGCTTTATTTAATGTTTCGTGTGTTACCTTTATTTATTACATATCATGTCCTTCGCACTTAAATCATAAAATTCAATTCAACAGCAATATCGCAAAATAATTTAAAAAGAGTGTATCTTTAGAATTTCCGATACACAGTCTCGCGCGCTGAAGATAATTTTATTTCCCGTACACTGTTGCCATTGATCGCTTTGAAATCGTTGAGTTTGTTAATCAAAAATTCTTTAAACTTTTAGAAAATATGAAATAGATAATAAAATAAATTGCAAATTAGGGCTTCCAGATGCCCATTTTTTTCAGTGGAGGATTACGTAATTCAAAATTTTATGGCTTTAGATACCGTTATGTTATCACAATGCTAGAAACATACGTACATTTATGCAGATTCTTCATTATTTAATTTGGTGGCAAGAATTTGAAAAGTGATTCGATGCAAAATGCCAAAACGAAATTAATAGCCCTTTGGGCTAAAAAAAAGGGGGGGATATTTCTGAGTTTTGAAATTATGGTGTGGTAAAATATATCACAATGACGTGGCTAATCTAAACATTTTGAGTCTTCCTGCCTAAACACTTTTTTATATATCAGCAAGTCTGGGGTTACGATTCGTCCGCTAGGCTTAATATCGCAAAATAAAAGATTTTTTTTCCTTGATAAATACCTATTGTTCTAGGTTTAGCAATTTATAACTCTTAAAATTAGAAATAGTACAATGCACAGTTTAATGAGAAAGAACTGGAAAATATTTTAAGATAATGAAATTAAATTCAATGTATCAAGTTTAATACCCTTTAATATAATGTAAAATACAATGAATCAATTTGAAATTCTTTCATTCTTCAAACCGAAGTGCAAGCAAATTTAATGAAGAAAATGCCATACATGGAAACTATAACATTAGTGAAGTTATATGGATATACATATTATCCTTATTAATAATAGATTTTAGAATTTACTGAGAATAAATTATGCATAATTATATTGTACAGAATACTATGAAAATCCTTTCCCTATCTTTAGATATTCTATCACTTGCCGTAACTCTCTCAGGAAAATCGTTAGTTTTTAAAGGAACAACCCAACAAAAAGTACCCTATATCTATTTCCCAGGAGCGCATATTACAACTGAAAATTTGTTCTCAGGCCTGTGCCTGCAATTTTACACATTTCAAGCATCTCTTTCGCTTTATACTGCCAGCAACAGAAAGCAACATTGGTACATGTTATTCTTCTATAAAAACAAAATAACAGTAGGCAGTCTTAAGAAGATTGGTTCAGATATCTATAACTTCCTCTCCGGATGTGATGGAAAAAGGGAGCACGACCCTCATAAGGACATGCCGTTGTTCTACTTCTAAATTGAACTCAAATGTCTGCAATATAAGAGAGCAGAAATATAAAGAGTCGTTCTTAACTTCTGGAAATTTTATCTGAACGTTTTGTTGAGTTTCAGAGAAAAACATTTCCGAGAAGTAGAAAAGAAGAGATTCTAAGCGTTTTTATATAATTTGCGTTGAACGACGTTCTAGTGTCATACTGAAGTTTTAAAACATCGCTGTTAAACGAAATAGTGAGAATATAAAATTATGTATAGGTATTCTGTTTTGGTTTCTTTTGTTGAAATATTGCAAGATTTTACAAACGTGGAGCTCCAAAAGTTATTAAATAATTTTAGCTCGAAGATAGTACACAAGTATATAAAATGAGTTTAAAGAAATAATAATTGTTTTACATACTGATTTAAATGGAATCAGACGAAATCTTATATCTTGAAACTGTTGAGATCATTTGATAACCTAACTTAAACTACCTTGTCAGTTACGTTTATTTAACAACTTGTTATGCGAAGTTACATGTTGAACAATACTTATTTGTTGGTTTTTTTTTTTTTTTTTTTTTTTTTGGATTTGATGGTTATAGACACTTGTGAGTTACAAAAAAGTCTCCCAGAAATCTGAGGAAATATTAGGTCTTTTCAAGTTGAAACATTAATTGCATATTTGAGGGATACGAACTAGAGATTTTCCAGTCACCACATAACATAAGTTTCCTAACCACTTACATCACAACAGTATACAAAGGAGAGAAAGTGAAAATTCCTTACATTTTCTCCATTTACGCTGAGATTGTGAACTAATTAAACGATGTATAGTTAACGATGTATAGTATCTAGTAAAAATCTAGTCGAGATAGTCTGTAAAAATCTAGTCGAGCAAATTAAACGGTGGCAAGTTATTGCATAGTTATCTATCGCATTTTAATATGATCCCCCTTTGCAGAGACTATTGAGACTTTTCGAGCAGGAAATATATAAGCTGCGTTCTTACCTGAATTCGAACAAAGTATCTTCCAGCTGCTAGCTGGAGTGGTGTATTTAATTATGGCAAAGCACACTAGGGCTATCTGCCTAAAGGGAGGGATGCCTTCGTGGAGGACTTTCTAAGGGAAACTGGTCGTTGCACGTTACACATGGGAAAACCACGAAAACACCCATGCAGCCAGCCCGTTCGCTGGATTCGAGCCTCGGACTGAACTACCAGTGTTCAGCGACTTTACCGCTCGGCCGCTGGTGGGCAGCTGCTAGCTGGACATGCTAAACACATAACGAGAGTCCATATCGGAGAATGGAACATATCCTTACAATATTATGTACAAATTACGGTATTAATGTACAAATTAAGTTCTACACTTAACTATCAACTAAATTTATGATTTACTACTTATCACTTAACCTTTTCGCTTAAACTCTTAACTAATGGATTGAAAACAGTAGCGATTGTCTCCTAGAGTATAATAATCATAGCAACAAACCACTTTAGTGCAAGTTGATTCACTTAGTTATCATTTACATTTGAAAACAGCCTTCTTATATTCTACTTTCATCTTTCCATCATGCCTTCTGATTTTCATTTTCTGCCGTAGTCTGCTTCTATGTGTGAGAAATCAGGATAGGCAGGACACAACAAAATTTAGAAATAACTAGTTAGAAATT